TCCTCTTACCTCTGCCCATTTGCTCCAAAGGCCTGAGCTCTCCTGCATAATACAGTTATTTTGGCAGCCCACCTTCCTCCTCTCCACCCCACAGCAATAACCCTTCGCACAGAGGTGAGCAGAGCTGCTCTGCATAAAACACAGCCAAAGCTTTTGACCACAGCATCATTCTGAGGGCTGATGTGCACAGTGCCATCACACTGGGTTTGAAAAGTACAGATGTTATGATGCACTCAGAAAACGATAATTCAAAGAATGGGAGCTTTAAGGAAGCCCAATTTCTTTCTATCACACAGCATCAGTATCATTTTTGAGAAACTCATTCATTCCATGGATTTTTCCATGTTCTCTCTCTTCAGCAAAACTCCCATCCAGACCTACAGACAGTCCTGGTACAGAATTGATGTCCTGCAAAACTGTGACCCAGCTATGCTTTAAGCCTTGGCTCCATGGGATGATGCCCAAGGAAAGGAGCCACAAGGGATGCCTGTCAGACCATTTCCAAAGCGTTTCTTTTGCTGTTTCATCAAGTACATCAACAGCAAGTTTATAACAACACAGTCAGAAGCAACAAAGGACATGTCTGGACATTGGGGAGACAGAGATAATTGCCTCTAATGGGATTTTAAAAGAAAAAAATATATAAAGCTTTCAACCTGTAAAAGGCACTCATTTGTGGACATTCCGGGTTTGATCCATACAGGCTATTGAACCTGCAGACACTCAGAATTTCTGCAACAGTCAGGTTCTTAGTCTGCTTTTTATTTCATGCAGTTTTCAAGGGAAATCGTACCCAAACTTCAGCAGCATTGGGGCTGGCAGCTCGCTGGGCTGTGGCTCGAGCTGCCTGTGCTTTGCCAGCCCTGAGCCTGCTGCCCACACATGTGGCCGCCCCGTGCCTCCCCAGCACTGCAGCTTGGGGAAGAAAACCCACAATTTCCACTTCGGCTTTGGAAAAAAAACAAAACAAAACTGTGCCATTTTTGAGCCAACCCAAGGGTGTCGCTCAGCCCACGCTGTGCTGTCAAAACCCGCTGCTGGCGCTCCCACAGCAGTAAAAAGAAATTTCGCAAAACAACCTGTTTTATTTGCTCGTTTCTTTCCGGACAGCCGTTTATTTCAAGGTCAAGGTTCAAACGAAAACCAAAAAAAAAAAAAGAAAAAACCAACATCGCGACAGACAGACCGACCGACCGCACGTCCAACCCTCTCCCGGCCGGCACTTCCCCTCCGCGCCACCAGGGGGCGCTGCGGAACTCCGCCAGCCGACAGCGAGCGCCCTGCAGGCGGGGTGGGCGGCGGACCCCGAGGTTGGGATCGCTGTCCCTACAGCCCCCAACAGAAACACTTAGCAAAGACTGGGGGGAATTAAAAGCAGAAGGCGTAGCTGCATGCGCACGGATTGTCTGGAGAGGAGCACGCACGGTTCAGAGCATTGAATGCTTTGGAGAGAACGGTTCGGTGCTGCTGAGTGCATCAAAGGAAAACATGACACCCGAAGGCAAACGCTTGGTGCGAGCAGGGGATGCGTGGAGGCCAGCAGGGACAAGGCAGCAACTTCCAAGAGAGCTTTGCAGCCTCATCCCCTGCATTTCCAGGCTGGCCTGTCAAGCCCTTCCTGCAGAGAGCAGAAAACTCGCTGCAGGATTTTCCCTACCCACTCACGTGTAACAGAAGGCCAAGCAGGAGCAAATAGTGCCTCTCCAGGATGCAAACAGGCTTAAGAAGTAAATCAAAGAATGCATCACCTCTTCACAGTTTCTCACCCGCTCCCCCCCCCCCCCACACATTCAGTATCACAGCTCCATTTTATCTTGGCCCCCTCTTCCCCAAGCCACTGGGGCGCAGTGATGGACCATCTCACCTACTGCCCTCCACAGCTGTTAAGACAGAAGCTATTTTTTAAGCAGGTCTTTATGAAGCAAAGGGCGTCTTTGCCAAAGGATTCGATTTTCAAGCGCTCAGAACTTCGACATTTTAAAAACACGCACAGAACTGGTTGAGCTGTTTGTCTGCCCACAGACACGGTGGAAAAAATCTTGCAAGTCAGAACCGAGATTTCTTACCACGGAAACCAGGCCTAACAGAACCCGTAAAGCACACTGCTGTCACTTTGAGTTATGCTCCCTTCCTAACACGCACCTCTGTTATGCCAATATATGGTTGCTCCTCTCCTGGTGACACCAGCAGCACAGGGGCTGCAGCAGCCACAACCCCCAGCTCCATGTGATGCTCTGACATGGGGGCGAGTCATTTTGCTGCTGCCTCAGTGTCCCTGCAGTAAGGCATCACTGGCTTTGTTATGATGGGAGCAACGCTGCTGAAGAGCCGAGGGGAAGAAAAAAAGAAAGAAAAAAAGAAGAGAACAAACAAACAAAACCGATAAAGCAATATCTAAAAGTGCTAAATGTTAAAGCTGCAGCCTTCTCCAGCCCCTGAGGAAGCGATACCTTACGCTCAGGAAAACTAAATCACAGAGCACTGGCAGACTGAGCAATCTATCCATTTAAAAGAAAATATTTTCTGAAAAGTCCGCCGTGGTCTGAGCAGAGTACATTACGTGGGAAGTGTCTCATCAGAAATACTTCTCATTATGGCAGTACTTTGTGCTTCTGCTTTGAGCTTCGCAGCCTCCCAGCACTGTACAAACATTAGCTTCTTAATCACTCATTAGGGACAATCCTACAGAGCAGGGCCATGCCTCATTGAGTAAAGTCATCCCCAACTCGCACAGCCCCTCTTGCTCCCTCCAGAGACAGCTTGAAAGGATCTCTGATTCCCAACAAGAGTTCAGAGCAAGGAAGAAGTCTGTGCAGAATGAAAGTGAACAGTGGCGGCTTTGCTGCCCCCAAACTCCCCTGTTTTTTGCAGCAAAGAGCATCAGCCCAGTCAGAGGGCTCTGTTTCCACTGAAGCCTTGAATTAATAACACTGGGGAGTTCATACGATACCTTGGGTTGGAATGGACCGTAAAAGATCACCCAGAATTTAGCTTTTCTTTTCCTTCAGCCTTACTGTTCCAGACTGCCAACAGTCTGAATCCAATCAGCCAAAACTGTCCAACTTTCATCTAGAATGAACACACACAAGGCCCATAATTCGCTGACATTCAGTGCTTTTATCAACTCCCAGGAGCCAACACCTCATTTCAATGCAACTGCACTCAAAGCCAATTTCTTCCCCCCTTTCTTTTTGTTGCATGCGATTTTTCTCTCTGTTATCCACCTCCTCCTGGCCATTCACCCCCACTTGGGCAGCCTTCCATCGAGCCTGGCATCTCATCTGAAGATCTCCAGGGGTGCCAAGTGTTTGCATACCTCACAAGTGTTATGTCAAACTCTGCCCCTTCGGGCTGCCAAAAACCACCGCTCCAAGTTAGCAAAGCAAATACCTTCTCAGACAAGCTTAATAAACATGCCAGGAGAAAGCCTAGACTTCGTGAAAACATTGCTCACCTGATGAGGCTGAGCTCCTCAGCACCCTTTCATGCCCCAATTAGCCCCAACGTTCATTATCCCTATCTCACGCTCTCCATCAGCACGATGCATCATTTCTGATGCCTTCAAGGAGCTGAACCCAAATTCCACACCTCTTTTCCCAACTATCAGACCAACCTTGTCTCTAATCGGTCTCGATGAAGCCATTTTTAATAGCATGAATCAATTCTTGTGACAGATAAGCCTGGTGCTTTGTACAGCACAAGGAAACTAAATTTGGTGCCCATCAGCTCTTATGGCCTCATCCCAAATAAATCCTCATTGCTCTGTGCTCTTGATTGATGACTACCAATTCACTAACGAGGGTGGGAGTGGATGTGAAAGAATAAATGGGAGCAGGAAGAGGTGGAGAGGAATAGGGAAAGAAGCAGAGAAAATGAAAGGGAAAAAGGATGAGGAGTGGGGAGTAAGAGAGCATTGGGGAAAGTGCACGGGAAGTGAAAGAGGAGGAGGAAACAAGATCTGTAGGAAGGAGGAGATTGAGAACCTGAGACCAAAGCAGTCAAGCCTTCACTGGGGCCCACAGATAACCCCAGAGAACACAGAACTGTCTCCACTGTGTAGGCTCCAATTTCAATAGCAGAGCACAAATCCATCAGCCCTAAAGCATTGCTCGCAAGCAGAGGAGAACATCACAGCAACTCTTTGCTCAGGAAACCTCTGTCTGGCACTGAATGCTCTGGAATATTCCCTTGGTCTCAGCGTGCCAGCTCACCTCCCCTGCTCAGGTGGGAGAGCTTCTATGCTATTGGGAAGACAGAGCTCCAAACTCCCAACCACTAGAAGGACCCAAAAAAGGCTTTTCAAACAGAGGTGATTTAAATGTCTCTATTTGAGATGACTATTTCTGTTATATCTCAAATATCTCTATTATATCTCAAATAGAGAAGAGATGGATTCAGTATTTTTAGTAGCAATGTAATGAAATTAAAACAAAATCTTTCAGATGACCTCTGTCAAGGTGTTTGATCTATGAGCTGTATATAGAGTGCATATAGGTCTAGTATCAGATATGGAGTTTGGTGGCCCTGCATGCAGCAGGGGGGTTGGAGCTTGATGATCCTAGAGGTCCCTTCCAACCCAAGCCATTCTATGATTCTATGAAATGAGCCTAATTTTCATAAGATGGAAGGAAAGAAGCTATGGGAAGACAACATGACCCCTCTGAAGCATAAGGATGAGCATCCAAGAAGAAAAGCACCCAGAAGTTGTGTTTTAATTTTGGAAAACACCACCACTTGTCAAATTTCTGCTCTTTCCCATCACTGTTGCTCATACAAAACACAGAAGAACCAATTCCAATTTGCTCCAGGATGATCACAGAATGCCCTGAGCTTCAGCAATGCTGCATTCGATTCAGGATTGCTGTAAAGTTTTCTCAGCATTGATAAAACAGGCATCAGGCAATAAAAACCAACACCTCCAGTGTTATCAGATGGATGAGATACGAGTCACACCATTTCCACCTTCTTCACATGACTTTTAAGGGCTAGCAGTGACTTACCATCATCCTGCAGGTCCAATGGCAGGGAGACTTCAGATGTCACGGAAGGGGCCAAACTCCAGCTCTGATTTTCATCAGAACTGTCCTGCCCAAAGCCAGCATCGTGCTGATTCTCTCCTGGAAAGAGAGCAGAGCTTCATTTTAGTGAAGATACTGCCAAATCCGAATTGTATTTCCTACACTGAGAAGGGTTTCTTCCCATTTCCAACCTTCCACTGAGGTCCTCGACCAACCCCAAACTCATTTTGGTGGGTAATGAGGCTGGATGAAGCGTTCAGGGCCCAAGGCAGCTTATTTGTGCTGCAATAGAACCCATGTTGTGTATGTACAGAGTTGGAGGGCACACAAGGATGAGGTTGGAAAGCTAAGCTTCTGGCAGCCTGGCCCCAAGGCCTGTGCCATTCAATGCTCTTGCACTCAGCATCCACCTGTAAAAAGGAGATCATGGAATCCTATCACCCCTTTCACTACAATGAGGAATCCTGTATTGTTACCCACACTGGGTTTTATGCAGAAAGCACTCAGTTACAACAGGAAAAGATGTTAACATGAAACTTTAATGTAAGTGGAGCACATGTAGGCTGCATGGAGGACAAAAGACTGCTGAGCTCAAACAAAGCAAAAAAAAGCCATCTTTCAACTTTTTTTTGCCTTTTTTTTTGTTTTCCTGAATACACACAGCCCAGACTGCTGATAACAGAGGTAAAGACAGCTGGCTCCTCATTCAGCACACAGCAAACAGCACCAAAGGTGAGTTTTCAGCTGATGTTAATTGCATTCAAACAGGAAAAAAAAAAAAATCTAAGTTCCAAACAAGGTTTATCTTAGCAAACACAGAAACAGTGCCCTACAGTTTGAGTCAAGCACTGATGAAAAGGTAATGAAGGGCTGGAACAAGAGGGTGTCCTCCTCCCTTCACCAAGAAATGCACTGAGGAAGCAGCACTCTTTCCAGCTCTGTGCTTATTTGCTTCCAGCAGCCATCCCACCACGCAGTCTGATTAAGGAAAAATATATATATTCAGAAAAAAGGGAGGTTTAGGTTGGATATTAAGAGGAAGTTCTTCATACAGAGGGTGGTAAGGCACTGGAACAAGTTGCCCAAGGAGGCTGTGGATGCTCCATCCCTGCAGGCATTCAAAGCCAGGCTGGATGTGGCTCTGGGCAGCCTGGGCTGCTGGTTGGTGACCTGCACACAGCAGGGGGTTGGAACCAGATGAGCACTGTGGTCCTTTTCAACCCAGGCCATTCTAGGATTCTATGAAAATAACTTTTGGAAAGTGCATCATTCAGTATCTGCATCTCACCTCTTGTCACACCAAGAAGAAAAAGCTGCAGGTCCCCAACCCCAAAGGGCAGGCTGCAATTCCTGCTGCATGATCACACACAAGTGGGAGCCATACTGCAGAGATCTTCCATTCTTGCACTACACGCATGCATTCTAATGAGCAGCCTTCCTACCTGCCATGCTGCAGTGTTGTAGGCCTGATTATTTGCAGCACTGCAACAATAGCAGTGTTGCAAGACAGCTCCTGCAAACCCATTCAGCCTTAATCCCTTAAAAGAACCAAGCAAACTGCACTGTAGTGCTCCAGGCTTTTCAAGCCAACACCGAGGTAACAGGTGTTCCCCTATAACGAGATACAGGTGCAGCATTATTGTGATAACGAGCAAACTGTTTATGGTTTCTGAGTAGCAGGAGGCAGCACAGCACTGTGCAGCCACTCTGGGGAGGAGCAGCTCATGCATCGAAGCGTGGCTGCAGTGCATTGCTTGGAACAAGGACCTGGGCAGCAAAGTTACTTGCAAGAATAAGTCACTGCCTTGAACATCAGGAGTAGCTGTTGCATGCATAAACCCCGTGCAAGAGTCAAGCCACAGGTCTCTGTTAAGGCAGAACGTTTCCCAGATGTGAAATAACATAGAGGAGGGCTTGTCACCACTGATAGGATATGCTCTTCCTTGCAGCAGGCTCACTTCCTGCATACAGGAGTGCACACCAGGCTCCCACACATTGCAGTAACCCACTCAAGAATGCAGAGGCTGCAGAATGTACATACAAGGCAGTGCCAAGCCCAGCAGGGCTCCAAACCATGAGCTACTGCAACACAAAGGCATTCTGTTTGCTTTAGCATTAGGAATATTTTTAAACTGCTTTAGAGCTGCAACACCAAAGATCAACAAATGCTCTGCACGCAGCCACTCGGTGCGAGTTACAAAGGAAGGGAACAAGGATTTGTTTTACAAACTTTCGTGCTTTCATCTCCTTTTCCATTAAGTTTATGGAGCAGCAACAGCTAGTTGAGTCCAAGCAGAAAAAATAACCCACAACTTGTCAGGGGCCAAGCTATTGTTTTGAACGGAGGGGAAAAAAAGAAAAAACTCATTAGCTTTTAATGAAAACACAGGGAATAAAAACCAAATAGCACAGAACTCCAGCAAATAATTACCCTGCACCTGACGCAGAGCTGCTCTATCTTCCCACTCAGATCCTCAGCAAAACCCCCCCAACTCATCGTGCTTTGGAGCATGAACGACTGCAAGACTGACTCTAAGGGGAAAGAGTGAGAGGTTCCTTGGGCTTACACCTCATCCTGGGGTCCCCTGGCACTGCTTGGCTACCCCTGAGTGTGCTCAGTGCCTTTTCTTGCTTTGTGATTGTCATGGAACATAGGAACATAGAAAAGACGGGGAAGGGAGAAAAGGGGAAGGGAGGAAAGCCATCATTCAGCTGCCTGATGTTTTCTGTGGAAACAGCTTCTTGCACAGCAGCAGAAAGAGAGGCTTGAAGGCACTGTGTGTAATTAACACAGATGTTTTTCGTGTGCCTCTACTGGGCAAACTGCAGAGGGACAAATCGTGTCCCCAGGGTTGGGATGCCAGGCCCATGCATCCGTGCTGGTGGGCACTGAGCAGGGCCTGCTTGGAGGTCAGCAGGTCGTCTGCTGGAAGGTCAAGCAAAGATATTAGCAAGAAGGGAACGCAAAGAACTCAATTAGGAAGCAGCACAAGTGCTGCTGGCTGCAAGGAAGAGCCATCTGAGCTGCACTTTGTGCTCGTGGTACTGGAAATGAGTCCTGCAGCTCTAGTAGAGCAGGGCTGGGAGCTGGCAGAAAGCTCTTAGGAGGAAGTTTTTCCCCCAGAGGGTGGTGAGGCACTGGAACAGGTTGCCCAAGCAGGTTGTGGATGCCCCATCCCTGGTGCCATTTAAGGCCAGGCTGGATGTGGCTCTGGGCAGCCTGGGCTGCTGGTTGGCAACCTGCACACAGCAGGGGGTTGAAACTAAATGATCACTGTGGTCCTTTTCAACCCAGGCCATTCTGTGATTCTTTAAGCTGTACTTTGTCCTTCGTATATATTCAAAAAGTGAATTAAGGCATCACGACAGACAGAAAGAAAAGGGATTTAAATAGGTGAAAGGGCTGCTTTGTAGAAAGGGGAGCATCTCCAGCAGCTTGTTAAGGGAACTGCAATTAAGCTCACTTGGCATGCACTGGAGGCCTTTAGGTACCCAGGGTTTCATTAAGCATCTTTTTAGAGCCCAAGAAAAATCAATCCCCAGCGGGTTCCAGTTACACTTTATGATGAGGAATTTCACGCCAAAGCGGAAGTAAAAATCCCCAACTCCACTTAATATTCAAGGAAACAAAGTTCCTGCTTTAAAGTAATGACTCTTCAGCATCACACTACAAAATAAAGGCCTCTGATCCAACTCCCGTCTGCCTCCATGCTCGGCGCTGTTAATATCTCTGCATTTTCAGGGACTAATTTAGCAGGAACACATTTCCCAAAGCAGAGCTGTAAAAGTATTATCAATACTATGGTTTAATATCCCTGACTACAATCAGCGCTGAAATTACAGAGAATCACATGGAAACACATCAACAGAGAGGCACCCACACAGTAAGCACAGCTCACACGCCAATATATTACAGTTTAGCTTTTGCAGTGTAGTTAAAGCTCCGTCAACGTTGCTATTATAAATTACGTACCTTTTAAAACACATTTATGCGCTGGGAAATGTATGAGGTTTCTTTTTTTGAATGCCTTAAAGGCTTCATCAGCTCCTAAGCACCCATATGGATTTGTGTGATTTGTCCCTGTGATTAATACACCAACAGCTGAGGGTTTTGGTACACGCAGAGTTTCTGCACTCAGATCCTAAGTTCCTTTTAGCTGCATACATCTGAGTGTGCACACGTGGCCTTCCTCCCCTCCCCAACCATACCAACAACAGCAGCGCTCTTCACAAGCCACAAAAAAGAATCCTTATCTATAGATCTTGAAGTGTTTATCCCACTTAATAAATGTTTTCTTTGGGGGTGGGGGGGGGGAAACTACGTGCAGAAAATAACTCCTCTTTGTTTATGCTGCATTCTGTGAGCAGGACAGGTTTACTTCATTGCAGTAACAAAGCGTGGGACCTCCTCTCAATCAGGAGGAGCCCATTTACCCTTGTTTTCCAAACGAAAGACCCGTTTGGGTCAACAGGTGAGGCGCGAATCCAACCCAAAGACTCATTTCGCACACTCGAGATCCACTTGCCACTAATTGCACGCAGTAAAACAAATTAATGGTCCACTAACACTGCCGCTTATGGGCAAAACCGACGAGGAAGTCGAAGCGCTCTCGCACGGGTTCCTCCCGGCAGTGGCGCGGGCGGCTCGGCCTGCAGTAACGCGACGCAGCCAGCAGGGGGGGCTGCAGCGCGCAGCATCGCGCCGGGCCGCCGCTCCGCAGCGCGTGGTGAGCAAAGCCGGCCGAGAGAGCGGGGCCGTGCAGCTGCGGGGTCCTTAAAGGGAGAGAAACGGGCAGGTTTGCAGCTGGGGAGCAAAACCTGTGCCTATCAAAGCCCTACGAAGGGCCTGAGCCTTCTATTGTGCTGAAAACTGTGTAAGTTTTGTCGGCTCTGAGAGAATAAGCCTGAAGAGGGCTGGAAAGCTCAGAGATCATTGAGTTAAACTGTTTTCTCTCCCTGTTGTGCAGTAGAGAAGCTTCAAGATGATACGAGAGAGAAAATAACCTGGACATGACTGATCCACATGCAAATACTGAAATCAAAGCTCTCCCACCACTGATTATGGATTTACTTCTAATAATAACAACAAAAACACCTCT